GTTACGAACAATATTTTCCATCACAATGTGGCGGAAATTGGACTTTTAGGCACGCGGAGCGTGCCGAAAAGTTCACTTTTCGTCACAGCGTGATGAAAAAAGTGTTTTTGTGATCAAAACAAACACACAAAATAAAAGTCATTCGAAATGTCATTCGGGTAATAGAAAAATCTCTCCATGTACTCCTATCCTGAAAATGTTTAAAATCGATTTTTTTTCGAATAATGAAAGAGTACCCATAAATTCAATTCCGATCCTTGACGGTAGATAGAATAAACAAAATTACATAAATGGTAATGAATTACAAAAATCACGAATTGGAGACTGAAAATTTTTAAAAAGGTCATAACTTTTTTGAAAAGATCGACTAGACTAAAAAATGGAAAAATTTGTTTTTCTTTATTTCTGTCCATAGAAACTTGGAATCACTGTTTTTTTTTCAAATATGGGTAGGATATAAATATTTCTGAATTTTATCATCCAATTTCAACGAGGAGAAATTTAAAAAATGCAAGAAAATGCAGGCGGGAACAAATAAAAAAAATTATTTTTCAATGTCTCTGAAAAGTTTCAAAATCGATATATTTTTTCGAATAATGGAAGAACATCCATAAATTTAATTTCTATCCTTGTCTTTTGATAGAATGAATAGCATAAATGGCAGAAATTGAGAATTGGAGAGTAAACATTGTGATCGGGTTATTATTATGTAACCCCCACATGACCTTCATATGACCCCCATGACCCTTATACTTATCCTTGTGACCTTTATTTCGACCCTTATTTTTGGAGTCTTAATTTCGAGTATCAAATTATCATTACCAGAAGTCGATTTGGATTTTTCTAATATAGAAAGATATTCTGACCCTTGTGACCCTTTATTGCAGAATCTTAATTTCGAGTAGCAAATTTTTATCGCCAGCAGTCAATTTGGATTTTTATAATATAGAGAGATATCACAAAAGTGAGAGAAAACTTCGGTGTTTTTGGAGGAATCAGCATGAATATTAAATAAAAATCTAAAAATCCTGGACATTTTGAATTTTCAGGAGTGCACAATGAAAGTTTTATTGGAAAATGTTCAGCAATGTAATGAATTTTCAATAATGATGACAATGCTTTTTGCTTATTGTTGGAAAAAGCATTGAGTGGAGATTTACAGGCAGAAGAGCAGAGGGATGTAATTCCCAGACGGATCGAACGGCTGCTCGGGTCGAGGGGTTGCAACCCCTTTTGTTACTCAAAGTGTAATTTTCAGAGATAGACCTCAAGGTGTATGGAAGTTTGAAGAAAAGCTACAGCTGTTATCTTCCTCTCTCTGTCTCCAGGTTTGCGTGATCATCGTAAGAGAGTGGACATAGATCAGTGGCGGTGAGTTATGTAGTGTCACTGGGTCCACCTTTACCACATCATTCCCGAAAGAATATTCTAATGATTGGAAAATTTACCACATTTTTTCCTCGTCACACTTCATTGAAATGCTCATTATCTGAATTCAGTAAGGAGACTCCTGATCTTCAAAGTTTTCGGTTGGGCTTTGAGCCCACACGTAAAACACATTACCCACTTCAATATCTTCAAGATTATATTCCCAATGATCTCTACAAATTTCAGACGGCAGTGAAAAATTTAACGATATCTGATAAGAATCGAGGGACGAGAGGTAAGCCTCGCTCGTTTTTTCTCGCGACACAAAGACGGAATAAAGGAGGGACGCACCCGTGGGAATTGCGTATTTGGAAGTGACTTTGCAGGCTCTCTTACATCTCACAAAACCAAGAACCTGGAAAATGAGAGAACGAGAGGAAAAGAATTTGAAAAGCTGTTAAGGCCATCTTCAAATTATCTGTCTACAAGAGGATGGAGTTTGAAGTTTTCAAAAACCGCAAATTTGTGTGAAGTCTTGTTCTGGCTGCAAGTATGAGTATAGCTTCAGGTATTTGGGTGAGCGTGCATTTCTGTGCCGCCGAGAGAAGAAGCATGCACTGATTGTAGAAGTAAAAAGACCATAGTGTCGTAGAGAGCAAGACGAGGACGCGAGGTAAGAAGAAGAGGGGAAGTGGAACAAACGAGAGAAAAACAATGAAAATGAAAAAACAATGGGCAAGAGGAAGGATGAGGAGAATAGAGGTAGGGAGCTAGACGAGTGAAGACGATGTAAAAGTGAAATAAGGCGATTGCGGGGGATTCGGCCGCATAGCGGTCGACACGAGAAGCTCCCCCAAGGAGGAAGTGAGAAACGTCCCTCGACAGTTCCAGTTGGTCTAGACGCAGAGGAAACTATACCCATATCTTCTTATTATATACGACTGTAAGAAAAGAGTGAAATAGAGCGTTTCGTCAAGAGAGACATATATATACTCTAGAATGAGAAAAATATACACGCAATACCTATGCAGGAGAGAAATGTAAGGAAAGGAAGTTGTAGCAGCGAAATGTTGAAAGAGTAAAGGAGAACAGGAGATAGTATTGGACATTGCCCACACGTGTATATGAAAAAACAACTGTGCGTATGAGATGCTTGCGACACACCGCGGCGCCACCTGTAAGGTTCTCCCCATCTGTATTCATCTGAATATATCGTTCACTACTCCCAATGTATTTCGAGAGCTCCAAGTGCTCTGTCAGTTTAATTGATACTGTCAATAAAAGCGACAAGTACGAAAAAAGCACTCTGTACCATATTTAGCGAGATCATACACCGCAGACTCCACAATTCTGACTATTTTTAGAGGACAAACTTTACTACTTGATAACTCCACGATGTAGGAAGCGGTCCACACTGGAAATTTGTTATTTATGTTGACTTCCAAGCACTAATTTAAATTGGTAAATTGTATTATTTTCGGAATTAAGGGGCTGTAATGTTTCCGCGAAACGGACGCATCGTAATCCTGCTCCTGGGTTCACTGATCCCAACCAGTGACTATGGATGAGAATAATGCGTAACAAACGCAAATCGAACATATCGATTTTAAGTTGTTCCCCGTGTGTTACCTCGAAATGAGGACGCTCACTGGGTTCTACTATCGAGGGCCCTCTTACACCAGTTTTATAAATTCTTCTCTCGACCTCGTGAATTTTCTATCCTTCCTAGAAACTCTTCGCAAATCGCGTGACCGTTTATCCTTTTGTTTTTATTCTTCGATATAATTTCTTATTTTTCTTTGATGCTGAAGGATCTCCTTCATAACAATAATACCGTAGTATTTCATTATTAAACGATTTGGGAGAAATTAAAAAAAAAACAGAAAACAAAAATAAATCCATATTACCCCCATTTGTGACGTAACGAGTATTGCATGCATGTCTTGACCTTTCGCACGCTGAATAAACACGCCTGCGCCCTATCCCCCGGTAATTTTTTTTCTCTCTCCCCTGGAGATGTGATAAAAATGCGTTCCCCTACAGAGAAAGCACGATTCGACCCCTCCCCCATATACGCACACGCTTGGCCTCTTTTCACTTTTTTTTTCTCCTCTCTTCTACTCTTTCTCCAAGCTCGATGTCGCCCCTTCCGCCTTCACTTGTGCAACTGCGCGATTACGCGTGATTACGTTTATTGGTCATTAAACCGAGACCACTGACACTTGAATATTCTTGTTGAGGAGATATGCCGTGGACTATGCCGAAAAAAAATGAATATTTATTTATAGTTTTTGCGTCTTTAGTTGATTGTATTAGTTCCAGCACACTTTTCGCTCGGCGCAGGAAACCGTAGAAATGCCGTAGGGCGTCAGAGAGGCCAGGAACGCCCTCAAGGATTAACCAGCCCGATTGCCAATGTCTGGCCCTGTAATTAGGTTTACGTTGTCGGTAATATCATTACGTGGTAGGCATGTAATTCCTGCCCCCTCCCCTCCCTCTGGTCCTGCATGCCACATCATTCAGGTTTCTGCTGCAGGGCAATTGCACCTCTACCCCATTGTTGTGCAAACCAACTGCTACTTCAAGGGCAGATCAATATCACAAGATGTGCCGAAGGAATCAACACTGTAAAAAATAACTCTAATTCTCACATACTTTTATCAAACCCCCGCACACAAATTACTATACTGTGTGCAAATAATCATATACATCCTAATTTTTGCCGATAAGTCCACTAATTTTCGAGTGCAGTATCCGAATATTCCACTTGCGTACCTTAAATTGTCGCTAACTAATAATGAAGAACAAGTGCATTAGGAATGATTTCCTGATGAGAGGGTTTTTGAGTCATATTGTCAATGAAAACTTTAAAATCATCACACTTTCAGTGCACAATGATGCATGAAAATTATATTTCTGGGGATAGAATTCCAATTTTTGTACATTCGTCATAATATTATAATTGGATCCTGAATTTTCGTGCATTAATACCATAAAAATGAATTCGGGTATTGAAAATTTAGATACAGTCCACTACAGAGCAATGCTCAAAATTTGGGATTCAGTACCCCAACAACATAATTTTCCATTCTCTGTTTGTCCAATAGGTAAGATAGATCAAAATAAATAATTCTATAATAAATTAGCGCCAGATATAAGAAAGACAAAATACGTTGCATTTATATCCTCAGGGACATAGGTTCGCTCCCCGGTTAGGTACATAATTAGGATTTCTTAAATAGTATTAAGTTGAATAATCATGAATGCGATTAGTTAGCATACCCTAAAAGGTGAAAAGAGACAAAGGAACTGTGGTTCATGTTTTTTTTTTCGGTCAGTTTTCTTCATATCAATTATATATCGGTGCTTGAAATTAATGGACCATTGGAGAATAATTTTTCAGTACATGTACGTGAAAATTCATGCACGACTGTAAGAAATTCATATCCCTCATGTTATTTGGATTTCGTTCACCGACATAAGAAATTTCGGGTGCAGTATTGGAATTAATGTGCTGTAATTATATAGTACTGTCCAATGAAACAAACTTCGTGTACGTGTACTCGAAAAATGAGCATGGAATTTTTTACAGTGAATCTAATCGATCCTAATTTTTCTTTTTGTTTTCGCAGTGGTGTTGCGATATCCTGTGGTGAATGCAGCAGCAGTGGAACAAGCGATATCACTGAGCCCGGCTCACCCTGCAGCACAAGCAGTGACGAGGGCGTCGCAATAGGGGGGGCAGCGGCTAGTAGTCCACTGCCATCATTGCCCAAACTGGCACCAACAACATCATCTATGCACAATGGGACCAGGCCCCAGTGGCCATGGGCCCCACCACTAGCTGCAACAGCGTGCTCAACGTACAAAACACACAAAGGAGAACCCGAAATTGGCACACTACCAAAGGTTGGCGCTGCTGATCCCACTGCCAGGGGTGGAAAGACAACCCAATTAGGAAAACAACAGAGTCATCAGGAACATCAAGGGAAGATCACTGAGTATTTTAAGACGCAGATAAAACCTCAGCAATTGAAGGCAAGTATTCTTCATCATCTACACTGTTAGAAAATTACTCCTGAAATTTCAAGTAAAAAATCTTGACATTTTTAACAATCACTCATTCACACGAATTTTTATGTATTTTGTTATTGAAAAATCAGTTGAATTCTGGAGTATTCAATGGAATTGTAATTTTCAGATCTACATAATAATGAAAATTGTTAAATAATTTGAAAATCCAAGCAACAATTTCCCTCAATTTTCAAACCACTGAAAATACAGTTGGACATAATGTTCAATTTCCGCAATGAATTTAAAATTCTAGATGTAATTGAAATTTTAGTAATAATCTAACATGGAAAACCCCAACTATCCTGAATTTTCAACCTGAATGAGAGATTTCAGGAACGATTTGGTCTTAAGTTGGATTCAAATTCACAGCATTGAGAATTTAAGTGCAAGTATTACTTAATTTTGGCTGTACTGTTTCCAATAGTGTAGACCAAAAACAAGGATTTATTCGAGTTTGGTGAATTGTTCGATCAACCCTGCCAAATTTTTATTGATCTGATGCTAAAATAGATTGAAACAAAATTGAAACTTTCCAATTATTAATATTCGTTGATCGCGTGGAAATAGCTTCTATATTTACAATCACGTTCTTCAATCTTCATAATAATTGCAGTTATTTCCAATTCCTTCAGTCATTCTTCATTACAATTAAATACACAATTCATTAATTCATAATAAATGAATAATTTGACCCAAAAGAATCATGTTTCAAATTGGTACAGTAGCGTCCTATTTTACTAAAGATGAAAGAAACGTTAAGTTGTTTTATATCGAAATATCTCGAAACTGCCTGACCGCTAATCCTTAATTCTGATTGGTCAATATGTGACACGAAGTTATTCACAAAAAAAAACACGCGGCATTTTCAAATTCTTCAGTGACATAATTTCAAATTCTTCAGAGGTAAATTTTTTTTTCACATATATATATATATATATATATATATATATNTATATATATATATATATATATATATATATATATATTATCAGTGAAATTAATAAATTCTGTCCTTTTATGGGGACCGATTATTTTAAAAAATTGAAGATAATTAATTGAAAATGAAAAATTCTTTATAAGTTCTTTTACTCTACTTCGCTATTCACTTCAATCATTAATCGAATTCTCTTTGATTCATTATCAATATTTATAAGGTATTCATGAGAAAATGAAATTTAATGAATTCCATTTCTTCATTTCAACAAATGAATAGATCAGCGCGCACATAGATCTTGTTTTTGAAATACGTGCTTGGAAAAGTCCCTTTTCGGTCACACACTGTTAGAAATTTTTTAAAATTTCATGGATGATATTATAGTAAATGTCATGAATGACATTGAATTGGATTTAGGGAAAAAGTGGTTATGAAATTTCAAGTTTTAAGTAGAATTCACCGAAATTCATGAGTTTTCAGTGGGAGCGAGATGGAAATTTCACAACTCGATTGAATTTTCAGTGAAACATGAATATTCAGAAACAACACAAATTTTCAATATTTCCCTGAATTTTCCTGATTTTTCTGAATTTTCACAGAATAATTGAACTAAGAAATCAAGTATTTTATTGATTTCCAGATCATTTCAATAGAAAATCAATAGAATATTTGATTTTTCAATGACAAGATTTCCTAAAATTTCAGTGGAACTTAAACACGATAAAAAATTTTAACAGTGTAGATTTTTGTGCATAAAGTGACACTTTTCGTAACTTTTACGATAGTAAACTAAATAGTATTTTTCCGGGCTGTTGTGATGAGGTTTTTTACTCGCGTGTCGTTGGCGTCCGAGCCGAAGGCGAAGACTGGCCAACCACACGAGTAAAAACACCTCATCGCAACAGCCCGGGATAAGATTTTTTTGTAACGATTTTCAAGATTCCGAGTTTGGGAAGCATGCAATACCAATTCCTAGACGAGGAATCGTGAGAAGCAGTACAGAAAAGTGACTTTTCGTTTGCGGCATTCACTTTTCGTTTACAACAGCTGACTTTCTAGTTACAGCTTAGGGTTCCTTTATATGCCCCCGTTTGAAAGATAACGCAGTCGTTCCCTTTTCGAGCAATCCGGTGTAATTATTCCTGTAATTACGTTGATAGCTGGAAACGTCAGCCTACTCATCTCAACTAAATTGGGCAATGTTCGAAAAGCAGAAACAGTTAGCAGCGGGGGGCACACACTCTATTTGCCAAAAGCATTGAACAAAGATAATCAGACGCATGCTATCCTTGTTCGATGCATTGAAAAATACTTGGTCACGTGGCGCCATTAGTTGGTAAATTGGCCGAAAAGCTCCCTAATTACATCAGTCATACGATAGTCATTATGCGTTAGAGTCCTCTGATTTTAATTATTGATGATCTGAGCATTTTATGGGTTAAACGTGTATATTCTGTGCTTGTATGTACAAACAAATTTCATTGGCAAACGTAGTGAATTCGCTAGAAAATTCAATTGAATTTTCACTGATCTTCTTATTAGTTTTTGACTGAGTCTATGAATCCTGTGAACGGAACGTTCATTACAGCACACAACGCCTTCATAAACACAGTTGCCCGCCCGTTTAGTAGTAAACAAAATTATGTATGACTTTTCCAAACACTAATTTCAAAATAGTATATTTCGATACGAGTGAGACAGAATCTTTACGAGTGCGAAGTTGGAGGCCCGAGGCGAAGCCGAGGGCTATAAATCGCACGAGCTGAGAAATCTCTGTCGCATATATGTAGAACTATATTTTTTGTCAGTGATGTTACGTTCAGCGAGTAGCCGAACTGTGCTTTTTTCGTTTACAAGTAACCGCAAAGACTTTTCGTTTACTTTTCATTTACGAGTAAACAAAAAGCCGAGGAATGCAACCACACGAGTTAAAAAAGTTGTTTTTGGCCGAGTGACGAACATAATTTTTCTTCGCAATGTCCGTAAATGACTCTTGACGGGCACGAAGTGTCCGTAAAACGTCTTTTTACAGACAGTGTAATGAAAAATAAAGTACGTTACACGTGTTAATAAGAGGGGAACGTTAAACTCGTGGGGTAATATTTTTAGGGGCAGTCGTAGGACACGTATTAACATTCTCCCTTTTTCACACTTGTAACGTAATATACTATTCTGCCATCTCAACGAATTGATTTCGTCAATAGAAACCATCAGTACATAGAACTTTACATTTCAATTAAAGGTCTATTTCATACTATTGTACTAAACCCTATTCATTCGAATCGATGGAATTAATTATTCATAAATACATAAAAGAAGACTCTAATATTTAAAGTAAAATAATGATTTGCAGGCAAAGAAAACTACCGTCGAAATGTCTGTGATGATAGCAAAGAATTCCACCGAGTTCCGTCGGCCCCCAACAGTACAGAGGAATAAAGGAGGTCTAGCAAAGTACCTGGGTGTAGTAACGCCAAATGGAAGAATCGATCACGACTGGGAAGTAAGAACAATGACCGTGTCACCACCATTAACCAGGAAACTACCAACTGCATCGCCTCGAGTCAGTGTTACAAAGTTGGACAAAAAGCTCATATCCAAAGCAATACCAGGTTTTCCAATACCAAGTGAAGTGCTATCGAGTATTCCTAGTTGCAAGATATCATCTCTAAGATTAACGAGTGAAGCAAGCCCGAATGCCAGTAGTGGTTCACCACCATCAACAGCCACACCAAATCATCCAAGTCAGACTGAGCCTGTGGCGTCGATTGAATTCGAAGGAACTGCCAAGCCCATTGTGAATGAGAATAATAATGTGACTATTTGCAGTGGCAATCATATCAACAGCAAGGAGCATCCTCTTTCATGGATGGTGAATGGACTGTTGGACAAGAGGGAGGAGGAAAAGCCGAGGACAAAATCCAGGGTCGAGGAAGAGGAGGAAGAGGAGGAGGAGGACTCCTCGAGGAGTAGCCAATCGAAACCATCGACGAGGAGTAGTGAATCCAGTTCGCCGATACTAACAGCACCTACTACTATCAGATTTCCTGCCAGGGTACCAGCTAAAAGTAATAGTCAAACCAATGACAGTGGAGTCTGTCGGTGGGACAAGTGCAATGCCAATTTCGAGTGCAGTGGATTACTTCTCGAACACTTGCAGGTATGTTTATTCGACATTAACATAATTACCATAATTCTATAAAGGGGAGAGAACAATGAGAGTTTAAGAGGGGAATTACGGTCAACTCGTAGCCTTCTTCGTGATGATTAGTAATCTGATTCAAGAATTGTTATTCGTGATTTGATATAAGGAAAACAAGCAGAAGTTCGAGCCTATCCGATAGAAGGCATGTGACCCTTACTTTTTGCGGTACTAGTCTCTTTTTTTTTATTTCCACCAATTCTATTGGTAGTACGCTTCTGAATGAATCCGTAGCAATTCCCTATGCTTGTGCCAGGCATACAATCGAGTGTCTATAGGAAAATATCCAACTTTTTAATGAAAAATATTTATACAAAAGGTTAAATATCTCCGAAACTGCTCGGCCGGTTGCGACTATCCAAATACCAACTTTCAGTATTGTAAGAGCTATAATCATACTAAATTTTAACTTGCTATCCCCTTTTTTTTCTCAAATTATCGTGAGTACAAAAATGAAAAAAAATTAAAAACGAAAAAACGGGGATATCTCGGAAACTTTGCATGAACGAATATATATATATATATATATATATATATATATATATATATATATATATATTTTTTATTGATCCAGATAGTGGCTGCCGAGACGAGTATTTTGAAAAAAAATTTGAAATCCGTCAGTAGTTCATGAGATATTTGAAGAAATATATTCGTACAAAAGGTTGCATATTTCAGGAACCACTCGGGCGATTACGCCCATCCAAAATACCAACCTTTAGTACTATAAGAGCTAGAACCATACCAAATTTCAACTTGCTATCTCTTTTTATTCTCAAGTTATCGTACAAGATTTTTCATGAAAAACGGAAAAACGGCAATATCTCCAAACTGTGTATTGAAGAGTCTATACATTCTGATTGATCTGCATAGAGCCCATCGAGACAATTTTGAAAAAAAAAATTGAAATCGGTGCAGTAGTTGAGATATTGAGGAAAAACCTAATTTAAACAGGTTGCCATATCTCCGGAACTACTGGACCGATCGGGCTGAAACAGCGCGCCAAAGTTGAGCTCAATAATAACTGCAATGAGTCAAAATTTCCGTTTTTTTTCTACAAATTTCACAGTATTCATGCTGAATTTTCTAAAGATGAATCACCGAAAATCCAAGTTATCGGATGCATACATACAGACATGAGACATTATAACATTCTAGACCATTTGCAATCAAAATTAGAAAATCGAAAAATCGGTCAAAAGCAAGCCTTCCATTCAGAAGCAAAAAGTAGATGGAATAGAAACTCACCCCCTTCTTATCATTGGAAGTATCCAAAGGTCACATCGTGTTGTAGAGGACAATTAATTTTGGATTTAAATTGATTCAGTAACAGGTATTAACACGTGTTACATAATTTCAGGTTGCTCACATCAACTCACAAACTGGGGGTGACAATTTCGTATGTCACTGGCAAGGCTGTAAAGTAAAAGGCAGAACTTCATGCTCAAGAAGATGGTTGGAACGACATGTGCTATCCCATGGAGGAAACAAACCATTCAGATGTATAGTCGACGGTTGCGGCAGTAGATTCAGTTCACAGGTATGAAAGGCGTTATTACCAATCATAAAACAGTGTTCCAACACATCTGATGCCATCCAAAGTGATACGATAGTTATTGGTCTTGTGTCTTTATGGCTTGTGAATTCCAAAAAATATTCAGTTCAACGCATGTTGATCATATTTAATGATAGATGTTTTTCTGCAATCAAATTTCCCACTTAAGATTGGCAGTGACAACTTCCCTGGAAGATGTCAAGGACTGAAGGTCGCTCATCAGAGATACCCGACCTAATTCTACCTAATTTCTGTTGTGGTGTTGACATTCATCACGAGAAAGAGAAAGTCATTGACTAACTTTTAGAATAGGAATATTTTGGCGTCGGGGTTCAAAAACTATCAAATCGATTCGTCCATGCAATCATTTATTGTATCGATGTTATGGGATATTTTGCTTTCAAATTTGAAAATCTCTGCCTGAATTGATCATTCTTCCAAAGATTTCCTGGATGCACCAAAATGTTACTCTGTTGATAGAAATTTCCAAGCATCAAAAATTATCTATCCAAGGAGTTGATTAATTCAACACCGACACATTCTTTCGGATGTGTAATTCATCCTGCGAAATTCGGAATGCGTGGAATTATCGTGAATCATGATGTAGAATCACTCAAGAAAAATGAAAAATTCAGGAAATAATCTATTAATTGATTGTTTTTATTTCTCTTGGAATCGACATGCTAATATTATACATTTCAAATTGCACAGGACTAATGTGTCGTACTGTAAAGGGAAATCATTGTATATAATGAGATATTTTGTCAACGAAATGAGGTGCCGGTTTTAAAGTACGCCCAATTACAAAACCAGTGGGAAAACAAGTCTTCTCTCTTCAAGTATGTGTTTCATAATTCAAAAAGTGAAAATAAAAATTTCACGACATGAGATCAGGAGCATTCCAATATTTTTCTTCATGATAAGATATTTCAAATGATTAATAACAATCGTAAATGAATCTGCTTAGAGAATTTTTGTAATTTTTCCCTTCAAACTTCACATATACAACAATAAAATGGTGATTTTCAAATCGTCAAGTTTCCCTGAGATCTTACTCAGGACGAAATCGTGTCTCCTGTAAGATAATCTCGTTGTTGACAATTTTTGTAATCCCTTCGAAGATTCCTGAATGAATGCTAAGTACAACTACCCGAAATCTCAATTTTTTCATTTATATCATTACAAATCCACATGGATCCTAAGTTGTTGTTTTTATTAAGACCGAGGCTAATACCAGTGTATAAGTTTCTTGATCGTAGTGTGCTCTGTTTATCGACCACATCAGCATTAAACATCTGAAAATCATTCACTTCCAATTGTCCGTGACCCATTAGCCAGTTTCAAATAATAATCGTTTTTCATGGTCTCCAAATGCTGCTGTTATCCTCGCAATCGTTCAGTGAATAATATTCTTCACTTCAACCAACTCGTTTCCTATAATCGTTAATTCTAATATAACTGTTGTCTTTGTCCTATTCATCGACCATTACTGCGTAATACCGGAGACAAACTCCTTGTGGATTGTGATTACTATCTTATCATTTATCCTTTGATGGCGTTGGGTAATGTATTTTCATTTCGAACGACTTCAGGCATCTCGCTTATTTTGATTCTTTCAACATATCCAAAATATTGTAATCTCAATATTTTTGTTTTTGTTTTTTTTTTAATAAAACTATTGTGCATTGAAATGCATAATCAAGCCCAAGGGTTGTTGATAATTGACGTGTGTGGAATATTTTGGAGCAATCAATCAAAAAAGCATGTTGAAGGTGCTTTTCAGCGACAGCCAATTTCAGTTCTACGTTTTTGTTTCAGAAAGAAACAAAATGCTTCAAGTTTTTCCCATAAAAATTGTCAAATCATCAAGACGTGTGAACCCAACTCTCTTCACTCGTGTACAATTCAATTCACTTTTATTATAAAATTTGTATTTTTAGCAACGTAAATTTTGATCAAATCACTCATAGTAGAAGAGGCTCTCCTGGAAGGCGCCTGAGAATTTTATCTAATTTAAGAATCAACTTGATTTTCAGCCCGCACTTGAAAGGCACGTCAATAGTCACTTCAATCAACCGGAGACGAGCACGAGTAACAGCAGGAGGAGTTGTGAGAACGGTGGAAAACTGGTGCGAAGGAATGGAAAGAAATTGAGATACAGAAGACAACCGTGGTCGGCTAGGCTGTTTGATTATTTCGATACTGGAGTGATGGAGGGTCTTCAACACAGGCTGTTGGAACTCGCGAAAACCAGGACTCAGGGCCTTTTGGCAGAAACGCCGGGAAATTCAATGACCTTAACTAGTCAAGTAAGTGTTGAAGAGAAATAATATTTTAATGGAAAACATAATGACTCTGTTTAAAATGTCAGATAATTGACTGTGATTATCTTATGTCTCTCCACAGGTTTTAGCCAGAAGAATCGAGAAGGATGGGAAAACCAAGGTGCTAGTACGTTGGTATCCGCAAGACATGTAAGTTAATTGCTATGGCCATTTTTTTCTTCTTTTCAAAGAGAAAATATCACCAAGTGCGAGATAATATTTCCTTTGATAATCGTTTGTCATATACTTTTCATTCAAATGGAATTACTACTAAAAAGTGAATGATCAAGTACATAGAAAATGTAAACAAATGGATAATTGCATTTTTTAAATCAATGAGTACAGTTGTTGTTGCTAATAAATTAGCAGTTTGCTTCCGAATGGATTCCCTTTTTTTTTTATTTTCACTCCATGATTCTCTTCTTCTATTTTTTCATGGCATAGTACTATTATCAATTGAAATGTCTCAACAAACGAATTATGTGACCCTCATCCTACTCTGATAGAATCAAGAGGGTATTGTTATCAATTTTTAGAACCATGACTAATTTTATTTTGACGAAAATTTTTTGAGTGCTCGTTGAAAAATCGATTTTTGGAAAAATATGAATTCCTTCCAATCTGTATGAAAATTGGAATTTTAATTCGTGTCAATGAACAGAACTTATTAAATTCTATTTTCATGAAAAAATTCATGAAATTCGACTGATCCCTCGTAAGAAAATTTCGAAAAAAATGAAGAAAAAAGACACCACCTAAAAATCCCATATTCGGACTTTTTACACCATATTTAATTACCATAATACAAAAAATTGGAAACTTGACATTGAACGATGGCAAAGCTTCTATTCGGAAGCAAAAAGGGGAAATTTATCCTGTGCCTCACATTTTTTCTTTGATTTCAAATAAAAATTCCTGAAATACTTTTTTCTCGGCATAGAAGTGATTTCTTTTCAAAGTTTTCAAACATTTTGCTGACTCTAATTCCTTTTATTGATCTGATCTTTATAAATCCCACAGTGAGCCGGATGAATGGCTATTGGAATCAGAAGTACAAAGCACAAAACACATACGAATACGAAAAGCCGCAACTACCTCAATCGATGAGGTAAGCCTAGTATTGTATCCCGCAATTCACGGTGGTCCACCACCAACGACACGAGTGAAGCAGCGCCGAAAGCCGGTTAAGAATTCGTGATAATGTAGCCTGATGAACAAACCTAAAACAAACAATCACACTTGATGCTCCTTTTATCATCGAACAATGGGACATGAACAAAGAAGGCGAAGGAGGAATGACCTAGGAAATTAAAGCCACTGCCACAAATCTATTTTTCGAAGAAGAGAGTGATCTAGGATCTTATCAGCTGGAGCAGCTTGGAGGTGAAAAATTTAGATTCAAGAGGATTCAACGTTGTTCGATCGTCTCGCTATTGAGTTCAATGTTTTTCATGAATCTAGATGTAAAAGACCCGTCGCGAGGTGCAGGGAGCATCAGCATGTATTAAATACATCATAGAAAAAACATTTCATGACGTAATTGCTACTGATGATGATAATTCCCGTTGTCTGTAATTCATTTCTTAAAAGAGTCTAACAGTGCCAGGTTTGATCCGAAAAAGTGCCTCACCCCTTGGAATGTAGCGTTTGCTGGCTTGACATCAAATCAATGTAAAGAATTCAAATGTCTGGACAAAATACATGGAAATGATAACAAATTGTATGAAGTATTCACGCCTAAATTGAAAGGGAATTTCATAATGATCTATTTAAGATCCAAATCACTTAATTATTTTTTAATATTAAGTGTTAGCTAACGATTATGCAAAAAAAACTAAAATTAAAGTAGAGAAAAGTAGTAAGAGCACAAAAATAATAATCACTTTGGTGGCCTTATGAACAAATTGTTTTTTCGAACTTTGATCCCTGGCGCTGATAAACACTGGTGTCATTCATTCTGCTGGTCGTTCTAATTTATCATTAAAAAATTAGAATTATCTGCGGAAGAATTCACTTTGAAAAAAGAAATGAATAGAATATTTTCATGAAACAATTTAATGCGAATTCGACAGATTGTAGTTTAATTTTTGACATCCACTGAGTAAGAAACTGAATCAACAGGTCTTTACTGTTTCATATTTGTTTCCAAGTTTTTCGCTCTTTTGAGAAGCCTGAGTATAGCATAATAACGAATAGAGAATCATCGCTTTGAATTGTCAATTAATTTTCATATCAGCTTGGAGCTGTTGACATGCTAAGTTGTACGTAGACTAAATTTTTTATTGCTCAATTCAGCGGTTTTTTTTTTAATTTTTAATTTTTTTAAATCATCCAAGTTGGTCACTTTGTTCATTCAGTTTATGATGTTACTTTTAAATTGATGAGCCGACACCCCTTTACCGTAGGTAAAATTATCAAGGCTGTGTTCACATTTTTCCACACCTCGCGATGAGGTACCTAACAAATACCAAATGAACACGAACTGTTCTGTGGGGGAATAATGTGAAGAGAAATCATAAAGAAAAGAATAAAAAACAAAGAAAAAAAAGGAGGAAAGGAAAAAAGAATGGAGAAATAATGTGTACACATAAATAGCTGATAGAGAATTATTTGTAAATTATGATAAAGTATGAATGGAAATTGTAAGAGCTAGGTTGAAGTGGGTTTATCGAGCGTCGAGAATTGTAATTAGAGTGAGATATTGACGATACGAAAACACACAGACACAAGCACACCAGCTGTGTTACACTGCCAATACGTGTATTTAAGATTAGGTTAATTAAATAATTGAGTAATTAATTGTGTGGACCGATCGTGTAATCGTGTAGATCTCTGACCACATTAAGTTACACTTAACATTTGTCGTACGATTTGATTAACGGCAACAACTCCCAAAACTAATGAAATGAAACATAAGTTTTTTAATGTAATAATGAACGTACGACAAATGCATGTTTCTCCTTGTGGTAATTTTTTCTTTTGTAAATAATTAGGTGAAATTATCATTCGAATTATGCGCGTACGTCGAAACCATGTTTCATGAGTAATTCACGTCTCAACGACACGTGATCCCCGGCTCTTGTAGAGTCCAATTTTTGGTATCAACTTTTCGTTTTTCGTATTGTTTTTCATTTCATATTTCTACTGTTTAGTCTCAGGCGAATTTTAATAGTCTTTTCTATGAGATGATACGCACAAAGGGGGACCCCATGTCATTCTTATTCTTAGAATGATCGGGTTAAAGGGTTAAAGGACACTGCCAACAATACTGCCCGTATTTCTCTTCTTATTTTTCTCATCAGTGTTAGTCTGAATTTTTGATTTTTTTTTCATTTTTGGTATACCTATACTTAAAAATTATGCTGCCATTTATTGCGATATTATCCGTCAGTTAATTATTAGAATTAGAAACGAGAATATTCCACTGCCCATGAATGTTAAAGGTGATTTTAGGCGGCAGATCAAATTTAAATTTGGGTTCAGAATAATGAGATCAAATTTTGGATTTTATCTCTTCAAATTTATTCTCATTCCTTTTCCTTAATTCGACAGCATCAACGAGAAAGGGTCGCTCGTTCACTGATCATTAGAAATTTCTTGATCGACTCATTGTTTTGAAAAATTCTGTTTCGTGGCTCAATCGGTTGCCGATAATATGTTTTAATTCGAAAATTTAATCAAATAAAGTGTCAAAAAGTTACAGGGAGATTTTCTTTCCACACGACTAAGGGACCAATTTCATATTAAAAAGGCACATCAAACATTGGAATTTTCTTGACTTATTCGCAATAACTTTTCACTCGTTCATTTTTCACATGACTCAGTAAAATTTGTTATCGGTAGCTAGATTATGCTTGATCTCTAGAATTAATATCTGAGCGATCTAAATGAAGAGTGTTGTGGCCTACAGACTGACGATGAAGAAATGTCAAAAATTAGTAATTAAAAGTTTACCTTTAAGATTCAATTTTCCATCAGTCGTGTTGCGTTTAACATTGAATCCCACCTAAGGTATTAGAATTTAGGGTGCTCATTGATTTTTTTTTTCGTTCCTAGAAGACTGCTGGGCTGAATGTCACGCCATAAATTTCTTTTAGCTTATAAATGGCGATTTAAAAATAATTATTTCGATGACTGATGAAAATATAAGTAAATTCTCGTGACGAAAGATCAGATACGGCCCTTTCTCCGAATATGTCAATTTTTTTTATGATAGGAAATTTTATGAACATGTTTATAGATGAATCCTTTTAGAATCGCCATTTATTTACCTGCGATTCCCTCTGGTATTTGAATTACACATACGTTGTATAATATTGCTAAATACTAAATTAAAAATATTTTTTAGGATTAGACCGAGAGAATAAGTTATCAATATATTAAATAAAAAGAAATGGCTATCACTGCCAGTGATGGATAAATACTGTAATGTTCATTTTTTAATAATTTTCTTTAAGAGATCAAGGGGTTTGATATGCGTGAATTTATATCTGGAGTGATTTATATTTGTTTCCCGATAGAAAAAAATATGATAAATAGAAACTAGCTTCGATAAATTTTGCTAGCAAATTTTTTAAAGAAAGGAATTATGTAAATAAATAAATCCAAAATAATGATTGAAAAATGACGAATTGTGCACACAAATAATAAAGACGAAGAATATATCCAAAAGTAAATAAAAATGCAGAAATGTATGGAGTTTTTGTATTTTTTCAGAAATTACAGATAATGGAACAAGCAGGAAAATTGAACAAAATTAATGGGTGAATAGATACAGCTTCCAAGTGAGACATTTCGATGTAATCACCAGACTGATTATGTCTTTTGAAATTTTTTTTCCCCATAATCTGATTTCGCTTTCATCTTTGAACTTATCAACAGAAGGCTTTGACGTCCCACAATGATATCATTTCACTGAGTTAATCTCTATTTCCCCTTCATACTGCGCAAATTTCCTCAATTATGATTCTTAGGTCATCCTTATTTCTTGAAATTTCACGTGCGAATGACTTTCAGTGAACGAGATAAAGGAGTGAATGATCGAGTCGAAACATATGTGCAGAATCATAATCGAACTCTATTTTTCGAGAGCTCATTGATCTATTCAGATCACATGTAAATAATTTGGATTGAGAGAGCCGGAGGATAAAGAAAATTACCGAAATGTCGGAGACTTTTATATTCACTTCATTCAATTCTCACGCCCCGAAATTACCACAACAAAATCGTTGCCACCACGAGAATCTGTCGGGGTGAGATTGGAAATTATGTTTTTTCTCATAATTGTTGATTTTTAAGAACGAAAGAATGCCAGGCATTGTACCACATTGTAGTGAAGAGACGTTCTATGGTTTGAAAATGATCATAATTTTTGGCAGTTAATTGTTTTTAAAATTCAACACACGCATGGGCGTCCGTTACCACTTGACAGCAGACTCCAGTGAATTGTGAACATCACGGGTTATTGAAGTGAACATCACTTCAATATGTTTCCACATATTTCATGTGTCTCCTATATTCTATCTATGCCCAAACCGATCATTAATATGAAAAAAAAACTCATTTCAGTAGCGAAGCGATAAACCGGATTAAGTCGATTTTGACTATTGACCAGTTTTGGACGAATATCTCGGAATCTAAAAGAGATAGAAAAATTTTTGTCATTACCTTTTTTATAACCCTCAATTGACCTGACGAAAAAGGTCATAAGAAAAATTTTGCTACCTCTTTTAGATTCCGAGATATTCTTCAAACTTATCAAAAGTCAAAATCGACTCAACCCGGTTTACCGCTTCGCTACTGATTTATTGTGCGTTAGTCGTGTGGAAGTCTGAAACGATATAATGGAAAAGTAACTTAGTGTACTTAATTTTCGAGACAGACAACTTTTTTTCCCCTGAAAATTTTTCAAAATGTGTGCAAAAAACTATTACGAATCACATTTTCGATATTCGAATTCTTAATCGGTATAAATGTCCCGATAGATTGTGTCACATAAAAAAAACAGAAAATATTAAGAAAATTATTCTACGTCTTCTGCCCATTTTCTAGAAAATTTAGGAGGAAAAGAAAGTTGCTTATCTTAAAAATTGGATACACTGAACCGTTTTTTCAATTATATCATTTGAGGCTTTTACACAGCTAGCGAACAATAAACAATAAGTTTTTTCACGTTTATGATCATTTTCTGAATACATGGAATGTAGGGGAAACATACGGAGATCCACACTTCCATAAGCCCTGATGTTCAATACTCATGAGAGTCTTAAGGGCATTCTGAGAAAGATAAATAATTTTGAGGGATGGCGGCGTCCAAATTTATCCACCTCGGATTTTTCAATATTTTAAAAAATGATTCCAAATAAGCCTTCGTTGTGATATTTTTTGAGTTTTAGAATTCAATGAATGAGGAGAATTTGTGGAATAAAAATTTGCCCCCATTCCAGTACTTTTCTACTAATCTTCTGCTCTCTTAATAGTAGCGTGAGGTCTTAGAGAAGCACGTATAACTATATTATATAAATGGTGTTTGCATTTATTATAAATTCTATGTAGAGTGCAAATATATACATACATATGGGCGACAAATGAAGAGTAATTAAACAGAGAACGAACAAAATATAATGAGAGAATCTTTGATTCGCGATTACGGGTCAATCGGACACGTGGTTACGATCTCGAAACTATTCTGTTTTTACTGATCAAGAATTTTTTTTTCACTTGTCAAAAGTGAAGTTTCTGTGTTCTTTTTTTTTTTATCATGATTCATATAAATCTAGAACTGTCGAAAGAAAAGCCTGCATATATAATATAAAATGTATATTACAATTGTAATGAGAACAATTTTCTTAAAATACAACTGAATTGGATAAGAGTTTATCATTATATATATATATATATATATATATATATATATATATATATATNTTTTTTTTTTTTTTTTTTTTTTTTTTTTTTTTTTTTTTTTTTTTTTTTTTTTTTTTTTTTTTTTTTTTTTTTTTTTTTTTTTTTTTTTTTTTTTTTTTTTTTTTTTTTTTTTTTTTTTTTTTTTTTTTTTTTTTTTTTTTTTTTTTTTTTTTTTTTTTTTTTTTTTTTTTTTTTTTTTTTTTTTTTTTTTTTTTTTTTTTTTTTTTTTTTTTTTTTTTTTTTTTTTTTTTTTTTTTTTTTTTTTTTTTTTTTTTTTTTTTTTTTTTTTTTTTTTTTTTTTTTTTTTTTTTTTTTTTTTTTTTTTTTTTTTTTTTTTTTTTTTTTTTTTTTTTTTTTTTTTTTTTTTTTTTTTTTTTTTTTTTTTTTTTTTTTTTTTTTTTTTTTTTTTTTTTTTTTTTTTTTTTTTTTTTCATTTATGTAATACTCTTTCAAGTGTGATTTCTGTTTTTGTTCAATTCGGATTCATTTAATTCATTCAAATGTTTTATGATAAATCGAGAATTATTCAACCACGTTCCTTCAATTCCTGCATCGCGAATTCCAGAGATAATGATGTAATTTGACAACAGCAAAAACGAAAATTCAGTGTAGAAGAACAAATTTGTAATCAGCAAATCCATTCGATGTATTGAGAATTTCAGTTTAAAGGACAATGACCTCTACACATGAAGAAAAATATTCTTAAATCATAAATCTTATACTTGAGTCAAGGATTTTTATGTCATTAGATTGAGGATGTTGAAATTGTCAGTTCGAGAATATTTTTTTCTTAATTCGAGAATAGGGTGTTTTTATTCGTACAAATAAAATGCGTCGAGTAAAGCTGATCAAACGAACAAGATTTGCAAGGTTTCATTGAATTTATCAACATTCTATGGGTGTTTAAATAGAACAATATTTAATTCCACTCTATTGAACATTTATTCTATGATATATAAATATAATATATAAATTAGTTTACTGGACAGTGGAATTAGTTCACTGGACGCGTTCAGTCTATCCCATTCTCGAATTAAAAATACTCATTTTTGAACTAAGAATTTCCACATTCTCAATTGACGGAAGTTGGATATTTCAGATTAAGAAATATTTTCTCTCGTCTGAACTCATAATTCAGCTCTTCCGTTTTTCTCATTCCTTCATTCTTTTGCGTTCCTGATTGTCATTGTTCTTCCCTGTTCTTCCATGTTAATTGAAAAAAAAATGTAATGCAAGATCATTGTAATGAGTGAAGGAGTGCAAAATGTTTAATCCAATGTGTGTTTTGAAAAAGTCGAATGATGCAAAATATGTGAGAGTTGGTATGAATATTTGAATTTCTGAAGAGGTTGAGATATAATACCACTATACACACTTTTGTAAATCACACTGCTCGATCTCGCAAGATACAGAGGTGGAACAAGTTGATCGATTTCTCAAAATTTACTTTGTCATTGAAAATATTGACTCAGTCTTTCGCATTGCTTATGTATCTGTATGCAAAAGTTTGCGTGAAAGGATCCTTCCCACTCAATGAACATTCTCAACACTTGATGGATTTTATCAAATTTTCGTCTGAGAGGATGGAGTGAACTCGATCTCTTTAAACGTAGCCCGTGGTAAAAACGTTGAAAATTATGGAAATCGCTAAACGAATGGGTTCTTCTACTAAGCTTGGCACATCGGAAGTATATGTCGCAGTAACTGAATGTGTATACAAATAGAATATTGTAACTTTTGACGGACAAAGAAAAATTCACTTGAGCGTGCCAATTGGTTCCTCTGAATGAACTGCCAAAATGTGACACCAAATAATAAATTGCAGGAGTCGGGAAACACGTGGAATGTTCAAAAAGTTGAACTACTGATACACTGTCAAGTACTGGGACATTCACCTCGTCAAAGAACGCAGAATTTTCAATTACTTCTAAATTCAAGGATATATATCTACTTCAATTTTCCTTGTTTCTATTAATTTCCATGGTACTATAAACTGAATTTGACAGCTTCCATTAATTTTGTTCATCAAATTATGACGTTTCAACAACAAAATTCCTTGAAATTTTAGTGGAACTGGCACTTGATAGAAACTTGAATGAAGTATACCGAAAATTTAGCAATGTAAAAGGGAACTTAGGATAATTTTTTAAATAGTGTCTCCCTTGAAATTTTTTTTATCCATTACCATCAGTTATTATTAGAATTTACTTATCACGAAAGTAACAAACATTTGACTCTTTTCCATAGATTTTGAACTTTGTTGTGAACGTAGATTCTGCGAACCCTCTTTACCCATGGTAATTTGGATTATTTAAATACTGAGCACACAATTGAACCGAAATTGCATGTTTCTATTGATATGGCCACATATAAAATTTCTGATTCATTTTGTAAGTTCAATTCAATTCAGTTTTGCACGTTGAGCGATCATTGAATTTGCAAACTCATTGTAAAAATTGAATTTTGTTAATCATTACGTTAATCATCAATTTTGAATTTCATTATCATGGGTTGATTTCAACTTACGGTTTTTTTCAGAAGTTTTGTATGAAATATGTTCAATTTCTCTATCGATTTAGGTTTCCATCTCAATCTCTCATTTTGCCTCTCACGTACGCGACATATGCCTCGTTTCCACTCATGCAAAAACATTTTAGCTTTTTCAAAATTAACCCTTAAATGGCCGCATCGTGAGGGAATCCCCGCCAAACCATACGCAAC